GCTTCGCGCCCACTGGCCTTTCCTCACGAAAGACGCCCAGCAATAGATTGCCTGCTTCGAAACAATCGCCCAGTGGGTCCTATTGCAGATGGCCTACGCGGCCACCGGTTGCTCCAGCCTTCGCTTTTGCTTGCCCACTCTCAGTGACAACAGCCCCACACAAGCTTCAGTCAATAAGCTGTTTATCACAGCCTTTCCCCTCTGCCTCTTCCTGCAGAAGGTAGCCTCCTGGGCCGGTCGGGCACATACCGGGCGTAAAAAACACGGACGCGGATGATCTCAGCCGAAACCGCCTACAGAAGTTTGCCGGCACGACCAAATCAAAGAGATTCCACGTCCATCTGCAAGACCTAGCACGGTCGGAGCACGAGGTCAGCCTATGGCCCCCAGACGCCAACTGGAGCACTGGCCCAGTGCAGGTCTCAGCACATTCAGCCTAGTGCCCGGGTACCAGCCAGACCGCTCGCGGTGGGGGTAGAGAGGCCTAATGCATTCACCGGCTGCCCCTGAAGTGGGGGTGTGATGGCCTTACATGCTCGTGGGATCTTGCCCAGCCTTTCCCACGAAGCATTTCACTCTCTCGCCCAGAGCAGCACCGCTGAAAACAGGAGAGCGAGTCGTTGGTACCCTAAACCCCTCCCTTTTGGGATAGGATTAGGGTTTGACTCCTCTCCCCAGCTAGGGTTAGGTCATGCAGTGCTTGTTGGGAGAACGCTTCGGGTTTTTGGTTCCCGTGTGTTTTCCCACAAGTGAATCATGCACCGCTGTTTGCATTAAGCCTAAACAAGCCTTGCACAGCTGGAGCATCTCCGGCTCACAGCTGGCCTTGACCTAACCCCTAGGTGGGGCCTTCTGCTTCTCGCCCACCCACCACTGCCCTTACGCACTCAAAGCATATCAGCCAAACGCCTGGATCCGTCCAGATCCCGCCTCCCAAAGTGGAGTAGCCCTTCAGAAATGCCCACTTGCCTCCCAAAGTGGAGTAGCCCCGGTCCCGCCTCGGGACCTCATCGCACCTCAACAGGGGGTGTGATGGCCTTACATGCTCGTGGGATCTTGCCCAGCCTTTCCCACGAAGCATTTCACTCTCTCGCCCAGAGCAGCACCGCTGAAAACAGGAGAGCGAGTCGTTGGTACCCTAAACCCCTCCCTTTTGGGATAGGATTAGGGTTTGACTCCTCTCCCCAGCTAGGGTTAGGTCATGCAGTGCTTGTTGGGAGAACAGTGCAGAGGCAGTTGCTGAAGTCTATCAATGGCAGGCCGTCGTGACATGAACTGCACTGCAGTTCATCTCAGCGGGCACAGCCTGCGCTACAGCAATACGAGCGCCACACCTTCAGACCAGCCAGCTCGCGGAACAAACAGCAACTGTTATGCTTTCATCAGGCTTGCCAGCACCTTACTTCTGCAAGCTGCCTTACCCTGCGCTTGAAAGAATCCTACATCTGAATCAGGAAGCAGAGCTCAAGTCACGCTACTTTTGCCTTGGAAGCTGGCCCAACTAAATACAGACATCGCCAATCACACAAGGGTGCACCTACGGGTGCCGGACTCTTTCTTGAGCAGAGGAGCAGTTCCAGGCAAGCAGCCGCGCAGAGATCCCAAACGGAAACAGTGCATTAACCCCACTCATTGTAGAAGGGATTGTGGCTGGCCTCAACCGTTCCTGTTGCAATAAAGCATGAGGTGCGGATGCCGGAATTGCCGCATTGAGCGGTTTACCCCGGTAGACCGCCGGCCGAGTCCACGAGACTCGGAGCAGCACATCCTTCCACACACATAAGGATGGGGTTTACTGCAGTTCTAACCCCTGGGGTCTGCGTGCACAATGCTCTGCTTCCTTTGCTACGAAGCGGAACTCGCAGAGCGGGAAAACTGCTCACCCTGCATCAACGAACTTATACCGCAAAGAGTTGAGTCGCCTTCCCCTGCGTCCCAAGGTGACATCAGCGTGTTGCCCTCCCGGCAGCAAGCCCACTGCCCGAAGCTCCACATAAATGTGTTATTCCAAGCCAGCTGATCCTCCTACGATCCTCTGCCTTTCTGCAAAGTGATCCATGTGGGACGCCACTAGATGGACACTATGGGCGACGGCCAACAGGTACGACCCAATTGCAGATCGGTGCGTGTTTGCTGGACGCAGTGAAACACATTAGGACGACGGGGAGAAGACCTTTTCAAACTGAGCGCTAAGCTACACCTCGTCTGACATTAGCTAGCTAGCTCTGTCTTTGCGATCCCAAATCCTGTAAAGTCTCACCTTTCTTTTCAGTATTGAATTCAGTTTCACCTCTCCTAACCATTAGCTCCAACCCAATTTTCGGTGCTCAGACGGTGCAAATCGCCCGCAATGAGCAGAGCCCGCTCGCTCAGCGTTCAATAAAATAGGAGTAGGAGAAGAAGTAGTAGAAGAAGAAGTAGTAGTAGTAGTAGTAGTAGTAGTAGTTGTAGCAGTGGTAGTGGTAGTAGGAGTAGCAGTAGCAGTAGCAGTAGCAGTAGCAGTAGCAGTAGCAGTAGCAGTAGCAGTAGCAGTAGCAGTAGCAGTAGCAGTAGTAGTAGCAGTAGTAGCAGTAGTAGTAGTAGTAGTAGTAGTAGTAGTAGTAGTAGTAGTAGTAGTAGTAGTAGTAGTAGTAGTAGTAGTAGTAGTAGTAGTAGTAGTAGTAGTAGTAGTAGTAGTAGTAGTAGTAGTAGTAGTTAGTAGTAGTAGTAGTAGTAGTAGTAGTAGTAGTAGTAGTAGTAGTAGTAGTTAGTAGTAGTAGTAGTAGTAGTAGTAGTAGTAGTAGTAGTAGTAGTCGTAGTAGTTAGTAGTAGTAGGTAGTAGTAGTAGTAGTAGTAGTAGTAGTAGTGTAGTAGTAGTAGTAGTAGTAGTAGTAGTAGTAGTAGTAGTAGTAGTAGTAGTAGTAGTAGTAGTAGTAGTAGTGGTAGTAGTAGTATAGTCGTAGTGGTAGTAGTAAGTAGTAGTAGTAGTAGTAGTAGTAGTAGTAGTAGTAGTAGTAGTAGTAGTAGTAGTAGTAGTAGTAGTAGTAGTAGTAGTAGTAGTAGTAGTAGTAGTAGTAGTAGTAGTAGTAGTAGTAGTAGTAGTAGTAGTAGTAGTAGTAGTAGTAGTAGTAGTAGTAGTAGTAGTAGTAGTAGTAGTAGGAGTAGTAGTAGAAGTAGTAGTAGCAGCAGCAGCAGTGTTCGTCGCAGCAGCAGTAGTTGTTAGTGGTAGTCGTAGTAGTGGTCGTAGTCGCAGTCGAAGTCATCGTCGTCGTAAAAATGGTAGCGTTGGAGTTTCAGAGTTTGGGGTTTAGGTTGAAACTTCAGATTGGTTCCAGCTTCCGAGTGAAAGGTTTCGCAGTAAACAAAGCGGGAGAGTGCTTCGCACCCCCATTTTGCCGTTAGGCAAAAAAAATCCAAGTTTGCAATGATCTGGGAGTGAGATATGTTTGCAATTTTTTCGGATTAATTACAACTTTGCTGATTGGGTGTGTTGTTTAAAATTTCATTTTGGCTGTGCTTGGAATGAGAATTTGGTGAGTGTACAGGCCAACGCGTGACACATTGAGCTCGTTGGACATTTGGTGGAGACATTGCTTAGTTGGAAGTTGAGTGCTCATCGCGATTGGTGCTTTCTGGATAGATGAGGATTGCATGTCTCTGAATGGATGAGAATTGGATGTGGTTGATCTCGTGATCGCCTTATGAGGAGGTTTTGCACTTGTCGCATTTTGCGATGTGGATCTGCTCAGTGTCTCGACTGTGTGAAGCCAGGATCCTCGCGCTCGGTACACGAACAGGTCGAGGTGGTCTCCGGTCTTTCGACATGAAAGAAACCGCCGATGGTCTTCAGTGGAAGTGATTAGATTGGTTCCTGCTTTGTGTTGGTTCTGGTTTTTGTTGGTTGGTGGTTTGTTTGGTTTTGCTTTCTTTTGATCCAGCCAAGTTTCATTTTGATTTGGCTCGGCACGTTCTTGATATCTATCAATTTTTCGAGATTTCACCCATCTTGAGTTACCCGACATGTTCTTCTACATCTTGCTGATGAGCAACAAGCACTGCGGTGGCCAAAATCAATAATCCGGCAATCAAACATGGTAATGGGATCCACCGTGTTCTTATCAATGTTGGCCGTTGTTCAATTGGCTGTCTGCTTGTGCGTTTCTCTTTGCCCCCTCTCAGAAGTAAGAGTGGACCGGGGGGCCTCGAGCAAAGCTAGCACTTGTTCAGGAAGCCGAGCTAGTGGTTGGGTGCTCGTTGACCTGTGATATTGATTTTTTTTTATAAATTCTTACGGGGGCAGGTACCTAGGGAACCTTGCGTTGCATACCCCCCTTGGACCCCCCTCCCTTAAGAATCCTATAACTATTGGCCGGTTAGATGACTGGAGGGCAACTAGTAAGGAAACCCGTCACGTGCCTTCATGGGTTTTGATGGACTGTGCGGCTCTGGTTGCTTGGGGCAAGAGCAGCGAGAAATGCCTCTCAGGTGCTGACTTTTTTTGTTGTTTTTTATCGGTCCGTGGCATTGAAGGAGATGTGGTATGTTACTGGACCTCCCTCTCTCTCTCTCTCTCTTTTTTTTTTTTTTTTTCTTTCTTCTTCTCTCTTCTCTCTCCCTCTCTCTCTCCCTCTCTCTTTCTCTCCCTCTCTTGTATATGAAAAGACGTTTTCAAAACACATAAAAATTGTATTTGCATTTTAGATTATCTGAAACGAAAAAATCACGCAAAAACAAATAAACATATACACGCATACACATATGTGTGTGGTTATGTTAAGCAGGAAGAGTTGCTGGAAGCCCAGCGGTTTCATCTTCCAAGAGCGTGGGAACCGGAACCGCTTGTCGCAGTTGTCCCGCGCGCCAAGATCAGGGATAGTTCGCCTTTTTGGATTGGGCCCAACACAAAAGTCAACATCCAGTTGAAAGATGCCATCCAGTTCTGATTTTCCAACAAGTATAAGATCAACATCCCGCGACATATGTAAAACTGCACCTCTGATGGGCAAGAACACCGCCAAACAATGGCGGAGTCGCTGAGACATGGGGATGCCATGTTCGGTGTGACTCATGGTGGGAGCCTTCGCGGTGAGAATGATTTGGAACAGCAAGCAGCACAGACCGCCAGCGCGCCAGACACTTGCACAATCTTCAATGATCTCACAGTGGCAGTTGAAATCAAGTTAAGGCGAGGGAGCGGCTGGCAGCCGCTTTACCCCGAATCAAAACTTGACGTGCCTGGAGACAATGATGACGTGTCGGTTCGATTACGAGATGCCGCTGGAGTTTGCGGCAGCTGCAAGGCAATGAGTGGCGTCCAACTGGTGCTGTCTGATGGCTTTGGAGACTTTGGTGCAAAAGCTACAGGATACGCGCTACATGAAGAAGCCGCGGCTGCAGAGGAAAAGTGTCAGCGGGAGAAGCGGCAAAAAGAAATCGAGACGAACTTGAGTGCAGAAGTGACCAGAGCGACTCTTTGGAGACAAAAATTGGCCATCATCAGCATCTCGACCTTCATCTCCGTCAGCCTGGGCGTCATGTGCTTATGCGCCGCGGCTTCTTACCTTCGCAAGACCGAACTGCAAGGCGTTGGCCTCGCTGTGGGGCTGATGGTGCTGTGGTGCTGTGCCGCCGGCGGAGTCGGTTTACTCACAGACGCAGAACCCAACCGCCACGATGCCTTGGAGCTGCAAGACCAGGTCCGGGCGGCGCGGCCGGAGCTCCAGGGCTATGAGGAACGCGGGGTCCTGGCCAACCAAAAAGATTTCATTAGGTGGCTTGGCTGCTTCTTGATCGTTCTCTTGGTCTCCGGTTGCAGCTTCATGGCCATGTTCGGAACCAGTTTGCGGGACGAGCACAGCAAGACCATCGTCGTGCTGTGGGGGGGGACGATTCTACTGCACTTCATCGGTGGCATCATCTATTGCATCTCGGAAAAGCCCAAGGACTGCATGGCGGCAGCAGGTCATTGTTTGGTCGGCATTTTTCTTTGTCCCTTCACTTGGATAGAAATGCTCCTGAACATATGTGGCGTGAAGAAGCCTACGCAGTTCATGCTTCATCCTCGGAAAAAGTCGTTGGATGCAGCTGTCCACGCCACCCACGAACGCACCATTGTGTTCGAAGGGAATGTGCTCCCAGACCGGGACACTGTTTGCTCCTGGCCCGGGAAGTATGCGTCCGCCTGGGCTGAGCTGGTGGCCGGTGCCCGCCAAAACGACATCAGTGCTGCAGTAGTGTTTCTGCCCGAAGGCTCCCAGCACTTCGGGCTGCATGATCCAATTCCTGCGAAAGAGGAGTTGCAGGATCTGCACGGCGAGTGCTGGTGCACTCCACTTTATGGGGAACAGAAGCCGTGGGGCTGCCGTTGGTGGTCGAAATGGATCGCCAACATTGAACTGGCAGTCAAACAAAACGCCACCCTTGAGGTGTATTACTTCAATGGGAAGATGGGTTTAGGCAAAGTGAAGGATTTCACGACAGCCGGAGCAGAACATCTACGCCGTGAAGAGATCTTCCGCCGAAAAACTGTTTTCAAGAAGTCCGAAGATTTCCGGAGTGCCTTTGAGGCTGGCCTCAGACACCTGTCCAAGGAGGAAGGCCCGGATTCTTCTTCCCCATTTTCTCGGGAGGAACACCGTCGTTTTTTGGCTTGGCTTCCGGAGGAAGAGCGGCAGATTCTGGAGGAGTCAGAAGGCTTAGGCAATTCGCAAAAAGCGGAAGTAGCTTGGCTGCAACGGCAGGGTTTTCCATATGTCGAGAAAGAGGTGAGCCAACTTGGCGGCTCATCACCCATGGCGACAGGGTGACCAGCAGAGTCATTTCAGTAGCTGGCAATCAGCCAAATGTCGCCCCCAGCAGTCATTCATGTTTCATAGTTTGCTGAAGGCCAGCTTTGATGTCTTTTCAATTGTCAATTGTCACAGTCGGCCCTTGCGAAACAGCAAGATCAGATCCCCCCAACATCCAGAAAAACGTGGCGGCATCACAAGCCAAACAAGATGCGTGACCATCACCGCCAAGCATGAACGACGTCAGCTACGTTTTTGACATGCACCGGTACTTCCAGTTTACATCAATCATAGTAGTAGAGCGTTTTGATTTGTTAGTTCAGGTTTTGGGGGGGTCATCTTTGCGGGGCGGCTCATATTGTTTCTACAAATCTCTGATGCCGTGATTCGTGTGATGATCGCCCTAAACCCTCAACCCGACAGAACCCCAAACCACAACCCTTAACCCTTAACCCTTAACTCTTGACCCTTAACCCTAAACCCTGAACCCTAAGCCCTAAACCCTAAACCCTTAACCGTAAGCCCTAAGCCCTAAACCCTAAACCCTAAACCTTACACCCTAACCCTTAACCGTAAACCCTAAGCCCGAAGCCCTAAGCCCTAAGCGCTAAACCCTAAACCCTAAACCCTAAGCCCTAAGCCCTAAGCCCTAAGCCCTAAGCCCTAAGCCCTAAGCCCTAAGCCCTAAGCCCTAAGCCCTAAGCCCTAAACCTAAACCTAAACCCTAAACCCTAAACCCTAAGCATGGTTGATGTGTATGTGTTGTCCAGGTGGTGGGAACCATGCTTTGAAAAGGCGGAGATACTTTGGTGGTTTTGATAGTCCGACGACATACAGAAGAAATCATGTCTGTTCAGGCGATGTATACATTCATTCATTCATTCATTCATTCATTCATTCATTCATTCATTCATTCATTCATTCATTCATTCATTCATTCATTCATTCATTCATTCACCGCCTCTGAAGCGTTATACATATATGTATATATATATATATATATATCCATACAGATTGTTATTTTAAGCCCAACAACACCTAGAAACGCCACCCGTGTCAGTGGGTCCAGTCACTTAGGAACTGTTCGGACATGCGTGTGGTTCAAAAGGCTTTCCGAAGTTCAAAGTGCTTTCCGAAGTTCCAAGGAAGTTCCGACTCAAAATTGCCAAGTTGAAGTTTAGGGTGACATACCCTGGCACCCTGCAACCAGGTTCCAAATTTACCCAGCCCTTTCCCATGTTGGAAGTCATAACCCTGCCACTTTTTTGGACCAAACCGTAAAGGGATGGAACTCTGTCATGGGATGTCACCGGTCTCAATTCCTTCAGGTGATGTATGTTCAGATAGATTCAGATAGTAATGCTCCCACCAGGTCTTTCAGCACCGGTATCCCACGATTCTTGGTCGTAGAACCACTGCAAAGTATGGTTCATTGAGTGCGTGACATGCCAATATGTTGCCTGGCATGGTCCCACTGTTGCTGGTTTTCACCTCGAAATGCCTAGTCAAAACCATCTACAGCACAGTGTTTGAAAATGTAGGTATATATATATATCACATATATATATATAAACTATTTTTTAAATACAACTACGTAATTATGTATCTGTCTGTGTATGCATGTAGGACAAACCTGCGCTATGTGCGATAGGCTCTTGCAGGTACGAGATGGGGTTTATAGCTTGAACGGCGTTCATAACATAGCGTTTAAACGCTATAAAGGCGATGAAACCAAAAAAAGCCAATTTTTTTTTTAGTCTTTATAGCGGGAAAAAGCGCGCCCATGTTTTTTGTTTTTGCTGTGGCGGCTTTTTTGCTAAGGCTAACCGAAGGCAGGGCTTCGCAGCGGCCAGGAAGTGAGCAAATAAGCCCGTGCCACCGTGACCTGGTGTGCTCCCTTCCCAGCGCAGCCAGGGCAGACCAGCGATAGAGTGAGAGCAATAGAGTGAGTGAGCCCCTCCGCGGCAAAAAGAAGATGCGCCGGGCCTTCGCAGCAAACACGTGCGCCCGGCCTCCGCATGATTTCGTTGCAACGTTTCAGGCTTTGACATGCTTTGACATGCTTTGACAGAATCGCAGTTTTCACATCTGAGAAGTCGCGCATTAAAACGTTGCCCTTGCAGTGCCACCAATGTGTCGGAGTACAATCAGCACAAAGTGCTGCTAACCGCTGCTAACCCTGAACTCGCCATGCACCGCTCATTACCCTGGGTGCAATGACACACCTCATCGGCATCCTGCCCGTCTCAATTTCGTGCGCACGTTTTGCATTGTTTAGCCCAGACAGCGTGCATCGCCCCAGCAACTTTGCAACAAAAATGGCAGCCATGAATTGATTCGCTGAAAATGCCTCTAGGAACCTAGCACATTTTGAACTGTGGAATTTTTGGCAGAAAGAGGCCGCAGAAAACACAGTCCAACTGCAAACGTGTCTTCAGCGCTCTTCTGTTAGTTATTGTGGTGCAACAATGTTGAAAACGTCGTCCGTCATTCCGTCGTGTTGGACAACGATTTTAAAGCAGCAGACTTTGAGAATCACTTTGGTGAGAACCAGACATGTCCCACATCATGCCATGCAGCGGCTCGAGCCTGTAATGCCATAAGACATGCGATGGTTTTGTGTGATAGCAGTGGTTCATTTGGCCGGAGCCTTGTTGTTGGCCCGCATGTCCTTCGGAACAAGTTTTGTGCACGGAAGGCCAATGCTTCAACGTCGGTGGATCCACAAGTGACCACGCCATCGACATGCACATGGTGTGAGCTCCAGAACAAGTGCAAAACGTCTCATATCCGGGCAACAGATTGCAAAGCTTCTGTGCCCAACGTGTGGGGTTTTGGTAAGACGCATCCCAGGCCGTCATGCATGCCACACTGCATCCCATGCAAGGCACGCGAGGCCACTGTGTTTGACTGTGTTTTTTTAACTTGCTTTCATGCACATTGGCTGTGCACGAAACGCTTGCAGGTTGGAACTTGCTATTTTGCTGGAATTTTCGGTGACTTGGGCAATTGTGACCCGCAAAAAGGACTGGCTTGGGGCTTGCTGTTGTTTATTCCAATCATATTTCTTGAGTTTAATGAGGAAGTTTCTGGTCATCTCTTCTTGTTGTGAGTTTGGAATGTGTTGCGCACCAGGTTTCCAGTTCTCTGGGGTGTGTTCCCGTCAAGCTGGAAGTCCAACTGGCACGCTGAGTTTTGATGATTTTTCTTTTGTTTTTCAGCTTGGAAAACATGCCGGCTGTCCGATTTTGTGAGAAGTAATTGCCTGATTGGTTACCATGTGATTGTGGTTATCATCAAAGGATTGCCGAAAGCTTTGTGTGCCACCTCTGCTTGATATTCTTGCTGGACCTATGAGGTTTCGAGTTAGGTTGCAGCAAACAGCCTTTGTGCTTGAACTGCGCTGTGTGGTCGGGTCATTGGGTAGCTCAGCAACGAGTGAACGAGAGCAAAAGGCGCCGCATGCAAAGGTACCCCGTGGATTAACGAACAAGAACGAAGAAGCCACAAGGAGCGGAATTGACCACAACGTCAGAAAAAAGAACACGCGGACACATCAAAACAAGCGAACTGAATTTAGAACACAGCAGCATGCAGCACATGCCACGGAGCTAGCGGTTGCTTTCATTCAATTTCCGGACGCCGCCAACGTTGACAGCGGTGACGCGACGATTCTGAGTTGGCCCTCACTCCTCCACCAGTCGTTGCACTAGGACCGCTCCGGTTGCTTTGGCACAAGCGTTGTTGGCATGTGCACGGCTGGAGCTGAATTGCCATCGCGGGGTCGTCAGGCAGTGTGAGTCACAACGTCGGGGGAACACATTGGTTGTTCGCGGGCGGCAAGGGGGGCGGTGGGTCATGCGGGGCACCCAACTTTTGCCCAGCCATGCATCGGGCCGAGCATGCTATGCTAGCTGCCGTGCTCACACGAAGTTGTAGGCTTCGCTCCGCCCTTTGAAGCAGCTGAGGGCCAGCTTCTTGGTGGCATTGCTTGATGGTATCAGCCCAAGCTGAGCTTGGTGATGCCAAGCAGACTCTGAACTCGTGGCGCATGTCCGCCAGCTCAATGTCGAGCCGGCTCAGGTCCACGAATGCAGGGCTATGGAACGTGGATGAACGGTGTGTGTGGGTGTGTGGGTGTGTGTAGAGGAAACACGCCAGGGAAAATTTTGGCGAAACGGGCTGAGCTGTGCACGCACACGGTAGCGACCGACCGTGACTGACATAGGGCTCACACTCAAGCGCTTTGGCGAAGAAGTGGCAATGTCGTCCGGGCGGCAAGCGCGTCCGCGGAGCATCATCCTGCACTTGGAAGCCTGCAATGTTGAAGCGCCAGCCAATCAAAGCCACTTCTTCTTTCCAAGCGGTGGAGTTCGGCCAACGTGTCGACGGCGAAACGAGGTAGTGCTGACTGCAGTAGAATGCGGACATGTTCTTTGTAGTTCATTGAGTTGAGTGGTGTTCGTACGGAGTCTCCTACCACGTTGTGCATGTGATGTGATCAGGTGTGGCCTCTTTACTTGTGCAGCGTAGGCTCTCCGTGCCATGTCTTCCTTGATTGAGTCTGAGGCCCACTTCGTCCAGCGCGCCCGCGAGATCAAATGCCCTGATGATGTGCTAGCGGAGCTTCGTGTCGGTGGGTTCACCAGCCTGGGTCAATTGGCTTATGCAGTGGGTCAGCCTGGTCAGGTCATCCCTGAGTCAGCCTTCAATGCATTCTGTGCAGCTACCACACCTGGAGCCAATGCAGCGGGCAGGGCATGTGTGCGCCGCCTTGTCTTTGAAGCGCAGACGCTGGTTTTGGCTGACTTGCGCCTGCAAGTTTCTGACCCGGAAGGTACCTCCAGAAAAATGCCGGAGGCGGAAAGGGACCGGCGTCTGCAGCACCTGCGGGGTCGGCTTCCGGGCGTGCTCATTGAAGGCGGCATGGAGCCTGGGCGATGTGTCTTAGAGGATTGTGTCAGGCAGGAATCTGCCAATCAGTTGAAGTACCTCAGCCCTGATAGATGTGTATCGAGGACGCATGAAGTTACCCACTCCAAAGGCGCGTCCCGCCAGCTCGAACTTGAAAGCTCCAAGTTGGTGATCAAGGAAACGGATGACGCCATGAGTATGCCAACTCATAGCGCGTTGCAAGTCCAGGAGGCCCTTCGTCGCCGGGGTATTGCCTATGCGTTTGCTCAGAGCGTCACCTACACTGCCTATGAGAAGTACATCTCCCGGTTGTTCAGCAACCTTCATCGGGAACCCCCGCCAGGTTTTGCACGCTGCTCTGTTGCACAATTGGTGGAAGCCGATCGGCAGGTGTTTGTCCGCATGATCGAACTGGGTATTCAACCGCGTGCAGCCACAGACGGAAGTTTCCCAATGGATGATGCGTTGACTTCAGCGCTTGAAAGCTACCACGTCTCCATGGCCTTGATGCCGCTTCCGCAGAAGCAGGGCAATGGAAACAAAGAGCGCCGTGAACTCAAGCGAAAGCTCGAACCGGGAGAAAAGAAGCTTAAAGGTGGCCCCAAGGGCAGTGGCAAAGGCAAAGGCAAAACGTCCTTCGCCGCCCGTATCCCCAAGGAGATTCTCCAGAAAGGAGGCGTTGCTAACGCCCCTACGGGTGAGGCCCTCTGTTTTGACTACAACCTGCATGGGGACAAGTGCAAGTGTTCCGCCTCCACATGTCCCCGCAAGCACCTGTGTTGCAAGTGTTTCCAACCGCATCCCATCCGGGATCACAAGGAGTGACGGTCAGTGCCAGAGGCGGGACTTGCTGCTTCAACGTCGGATGAGCCCGTGTTGCCAGCGGTTCCGCCACATGAGGAAACTGGAGCTGAGGCTCCCGCTGTGGTCAGTCAAGCTGTGCTCCATGTTGCGGCTGAGCCCCCGGTTTCCCATGCTCCTGCGCCAACCTCCCATGAGGCTCCCACTGTAATCAGTCAAGCTGTGCACCATGTTGCGGCGGAGCCCCCGGTTTCCCATGTTCCTGAGCCAACCTCCCTGAATTCGTGTGCTTCTGTCAGTGACCCTGAGGAACTTGCTGAGCAACTTCTCCAGGGCAAGCTCATTGATCCTCACTCTGTGCTCTCCCTGTGGGAGCTCCTTCCACACGAGGCGCCTCATAAGGCAGCGTCAGGCAGCTCATTCTTCACTGGACTGTACCGGAGAGGGGGTGTGCTGGGTCTTCGGGCCAATGTGGCCCGCTTCCCAAAAGTAGCGCAGGTCCTCTGTGCCTTCGTTCGGCAGCGCCGGCCGTCTGCGGTGTTCACTTCGCTTGCCATATTCTGTGACATTCCCACTGAGCCTCATCGTGACTCCCATAACGGCCCGTCTCCTAATCTTGTGTTTAAGCTTTCGGATTTCTCAGGGGGCGGTGTGTGGTGTGAGGGCCCCGGGCACGATGTCCGCCCTGTTCAAGGCTCTCCCGTTCAGGGTCGTGTGCTCAAGTTCGATGATGGTTGTCTCGAGCTGCCTGCTAAGGACCACTGGCATATGACTGAACCCTGGCAAGGCCGTCGCGTGGTCCTTGTGGCATATGCACTGCCTTATATGCCCTCAGTTAAGCTTGAGGTCCCCCAAGCCCTCCTCGAGCTTGGCTTCCCGTTGCCACCGGATTTCCTTCCAGCACTGGCGGATGTTCCTCCGCTCAGCAACCCCGCACCGGAGCCTACGCAAGAGCCTGAGCTGTCTTCCCGACCCGCGTTCATTATTGAGGTCTTTTCTGGCATGTCCAGGCTTTCCGCCTGCCTTAAGCAACTTGGTTTTGACGCCATTGCCGTTGATCATAAGCGCGTCCCTGGCGCCGCCTGTCATGTTCATCTTGTCGACTTGTGTGCAACGGAAGGCGTTGAGTTGGTCCGACGTTGGCTGGCAATGCCCAACTGCGTGGGTATTTGGTTCGCTCCACCATGTGGGACGGCCAGCCGAGCAAGGGAGATCAAAGGGGTTCCAGGGCCCCCCCCTCTCCGATCGGAGAAGTTTCCGAACGGGCTGCCGCACCTAAAGGGTCAATCCCTTCTCCGAGTCACCCTAGCCAACCAGCTTTACGAATGTGTTTCTGATTTGGTTCTTGAGGCTGCCTCCCGCAACCTTGTCATCGGTGTTGAGAACCCTCGGCAAAGTCTCTACTGGCGCACTTCCATGTTTGCACGCATCGCACACCTCCTTCAGTTCACTGCATTCCAGAGTTGCGCCTACGGCGGCCGTCGTCCGAAGTGGACGGCCATTGCGTATACCCGGGGTGCGTTTGACTGCATCTGCAAGTCCTGCCCTGGGCAGTCTTGCGCTCAACGTCACCTGCCGTGGGGGGTGGCGCCAGAGGCGCCTAACGGCTTCTCTACATCGTTGGAAGCTGCGTATCCGCTGCCACTGGCGCGTGCCCTCGCCCATGCGTTCTTCCAGGCTTGCCCGCCCAAGCCGTCCTCACCTGCCGGGCTCCAGTTATCTCTTGTCCGTGGCCAGGTCGGGAGTCAGCCAAAGGCCTCTGTGACGGGGCCCCGCGTGCCTGAGCATGCTCGCATTTTGCGAGTACGGGTCCCCCCTTCTGTGTCCTGTCCGGTGTCCCTGCGTGCCCGCCTTAAGGACCCCTGGCCCCTGCCCCACGTGGCCGTCTGCCCCGAGCGCTCGGTGCCTGCCGACGCCCAGCTGCTGCAAATAGTCCCGGTTAAGCAGGGGAGTTCGAGCGCTGGTTCTGGAAACAAAGTTTGTGGTGCTGATGCGGAGCTCTGGAACGAGCTTGTTTGGGGTATCCCTTTCTCCCCGGAACAGTTTGTCCGCGAGGCGGTTAAAGCCGGCCATCCCAGAACCCTAGAGGTCTCCCTGCCTCAAGTCCTCAAAGATGCTGTGTGCACCCATGCCTCGTTGTCCGAGTCGGAGCTGTGCGGGTTGAGAGCGCGCCAGTTTGCTAAGTGGCTTAAGCTTGCGCAGGACCTCAGGAGCGAGGAAGAAGCGCTGAAGGCCTCTATGCATAAACAGGTCGCTACGATCCTAAAGCCCAAACGTCTCCTCTTGTGGAAGGCGATGATGGTTGAGGCTT